ACTTCCATGCACGTTTTTCAAACCGATTAAATGGATTTAAGAGTTTCATAATATATTAAAAAGATATTTTAACTTTCAGTCCATTGCATAAGTACCACCACTAGAATAAATGTCTTTCTTTAGTCATATGTTGACAGCTACATGAAGTAGGAGGCAAGAGCTAAGGATTGGCTGCCTTGTCCCACAACAGTCTCTAATAGCCATCGAGAGAGCAAGTTCTTAAATAAGGGCCCATAGAAGTGGGCCTAAAAAATCGGCCAAAGCAACAGTCCTTTAAAGCTATGATTATTACTCTCTACAGTTTCCTGCTGTCAATTAGGCCATGAATGCAACATACAGATCAACCTATTTTTTCACTCCCAGTATGAACAAGCTTAAGAACATTTTCACAGCAGATTCTTGAAAAGTCAATCTATTACCCCGACTGCTTTGCCACCTCATTTTTGGAAGACCACATACGCCATTTCAGACAGATGAATTTCTGACTTTTATTCTTCAAGTTACAATGAAGCTTAAGTCTTCTAATTCTGTATATAACAGAGATGAAGAATATTTGCTCAGAATCCTCTAAGAAAACTTCTCAGACACATGAATGTTACTCTTAACTCTCTTTCAACCATTTCCTCTCATGATAAATACCTTTGTTCCCTTAATCTCCCACCATAAGCTCCAACTTCCCAATATTTTGCATAATTTTCAGGATCTCTGGTAAAGTCTCCACAATCCCCTTAAACTGTAAAAATGCAAAGGTAGATAAAGTTCTCCAAAAACATTTGACGTAAATCAGAGTTAAGAGGATTAAGTCACAGATTTTACATGCTAAATTTCTATTTATATACCTTTGACATGCTTGCTTATAAGCTATGGTTCTATATTTTTGCCTTGTGTACCCACTTTGAACTCCAGATCTTTGCCTTCCATAATACAGAACAATAGGTCTTCCATATTTTATACTTGTTTATTTTTCTTCCAGTTTGATTGCTCTTCGTATGTCCATATGTAATTTGTTACTGACTACTTGTCAACTGAGAATTTTATTTACTTCATTTTATAATTTCAGCCATTTCACTGAAGAAATAATTGAGCAACACAAGATCTCACTATGATGCCTGTATTAATTACCACAGATTCCACTCCAAATTGGTACTGATTCCAACTCTTTGGCTTACTGTAACCCTCCTAATAAATTCCAAGCCTGGGGACACTGCCCTTGCAGAAGAGACATGTCATGTTATATTCGCTTTCTGTAGGATGGGGAAGAGGGAGGCAGAGACTCCATTGTAGCTTTTTTCCCCCAGAAAGGGGATCGCCATATGCCATTCTAACACCTAACGGTTGCCCTTTTAACAAGAATTGACAGCAAACTGAAAGTAAACATTAGAAGTGATAAAATTAGAAAAGAATACAAGGGGAATTGGAAAGCAATCAGCAGAGGAAGGAATCCTTTGGAAAGGTAGGAGAGAAGTCAAGACCACCTTCACCCATCTGACTTTTGGCCTAGGGCCATCGGTGGCCATGGTCCCAAACCCTGGTTCACTTGCTTGATTCAACCACCATACTATGAGTTCAAGGTCATATGCTTGATCCCTCTATGTGAGCCAATGGGCACCAGCTTCACGGTCAAAAACTTGCCTTTTTGCCCAACCTCTCACAAATACCATCGACAAATACATTGTCCTAAGGGATTCATGAGAGTGGGTATGAATCAATCAAAGCAAATTTCTCACCATTACTGGAAAAATAACCAGGAAAACCTGACCTGTGAGTCAGCCCATCATACAAATTCCATTAAGAAAGAAACCTCTGATGGTCGTGGGTCAGAGAGATGTGAGTAAGAAACCAGGCTCTGCTGCTTACTAGTCCTATGTGTGACCTTGGACAAGTTAATTTTTCTGAGCTTTAAAGATAAAACACATTAAGGACCTCAAGTGGAGCTTGACATACAAGGGATGCTCAAGTGATGCCAGCCCCACCCCCTTCCAGAGATAAAATCTGGAACTTAAGAGCACAGGGATGGAGCCAGGCCCACAGGTGTTCCAATCCCTGCAGCACACTAGCTGTGAAACACTGGGCAAGTGACAGTCTGTCTCATCTTTCTTATAAAGCTGGGATAATGAATTAAAACATTCAGATAGTGCCTAGCACAGTGAATGTCAACAAATGGCAGCTATTTTTAAACTGTTAATAAGAGAAAGTGATATTATAATCATCATTATCTGTTGACCAATATACCTCAAAGTGTGGTCAGTGAACTGTAGATATCCGAAAGAGCTGGGATGTCTGCAAAAAAAAAAAAAAAAGAAACCCGATGTCCACCCCCAACCTATTCAAAAAAGCTCTCCAAGAATAGTACGAGGTAATGTTCATTTCTGAATCAAACATCCTTGAGATGTATACAAAGTTTAAGAATGATTGATTGATCCACTTGGTCTTGTGCTATGTCTCAGTAAATTAAGACTTGTCTTCTAGTACTTTACTCTTCTTTAGTACTTACTTTTCTAATTCTTTACTATAACAGGAGGATTACCCAGTATCTGGTATTTTTTATATTCTAGCACTTTTTTAGACCTAGACATTAAACTGATAGGCTCATTCCTATTGTTTCCCCCCCTCCCCGCCCCGCAATGGCATTATTTTGACTTTTTCTTCCCCTCTGACCGAGGGTTGGCAAACTATGGCCTTGGTCTGTGGCCAGTTTTGTACAACCTTAACCTCCAGAAGGGATATGTGTTTAAAGAGCAGTTAAAAAAAAAAAAAAAAAGAAGAGGAATATGCGATGGAGACCATACATTGCTCACAAAGCCTAAAATATTTACTTTCTGGCCCTTTACCAATAGTTTGCCAACCCCTGGTAGTCTAAAATCTCTTTAAACTGGGGGTCTCACAATTTACTTTAAAAAAATTAAGAGAGAACTGATTAGGATAGAAAATACCCTAAACAGATATTTTTTACTACACCTAGAAAAGGGAAGTACATCACCAAAGTTTCTGTTATACGTATATGCATATGTGTGCACTGGAAAATGATCAAATTGGTTGCAGTCAGAACAGTCTTTGGCGGGTAGGAATGGGGAATAAATAGGGCAATTGGTTAACAAATATTTAGTAAAACTCACACTGAGTAATTTTTACAATAAAGGTGCTTTGGAGACCATAAAACCATATGAAATGATCCCTACCACTCAGAACTTAACGGCTTATTCCATTGCAAAACAAAAATCGAATCTGTTCTGTGTATAATCTACATTGTTGTAAAGAGAAAACAGAATCATAAATGCAAAGTCCTTCAAAAACATTATACAAACAAAATATTTTACTTATACTAACAATATACTGTACTGAACGAATATACGTTCTTTATCAAGTCCCTTAGTCTTTGCTTTTCTCCAATCTGGGAAACTAGTCCTTTTTTTTCTCTTTGTGTGTGTCCATGTGCATGTGAATGTACTCGTGTGTACATGTGTGTCTCAGGAGCATAAAAGAAGTATATATTAGATGTCTCTACCCCTTCTGTGTCATTCATCATTGGCTTCTCCTGCCCATCTGTTTAAAATATGTACTCTTTTATCCTTTTCTCATTTCTAATAAGAAAAGTATTTGATTAAATTCTTGTGCAAAATGAACAATGAAGACTATGATTATCCTACCCCTGAAAACACTAAAAAGTCCAAAATTAAAAATTTTAAAGTAACAATCTTCCCTTTATCTTCAGAGAGCACTAATTTCCAGTGCTTTTTATGACTGCTTCAGATAAACTAAAAATACCTTAATTTTATAACACTGTTCAACAATTTTGCAAAGAAAAGAAACAGCTTCCTAGGAACATATATAAGGAAATGACACTTTAAAATGGTTTCATTATATGAAATGCACTGCGGACACACAAACCACAAGAAGTGTAAATAAATAAAAGCTGGTGCGATGCTGAATGCATGGTTGCCTTACACCACAAAGAAAAAGCACTTGCACATTTGCACACCCGGGTATTTTAGCTTGGGATGCCACAAAGATGGGATTTAGGCACGTTGTGTAAATACAGAAGGCTGTTAATGTGTAAGTGTGTCTGCGTGTGTCAGAGAAAGAGGGTTATAAACAGAAGAGGTAGGACCTGCCAGGAGCAATTATTTGAGAAAATCCCTTTTTCTTTCCCATTCATTCTTACTAGCTTCAGTATCTGGCACAGTCCTTACAATTACTCACTGGCTTTTCATTCTAAAGACAACCGACAAGCTTTCAGAACTTCCTACAGTGTTTTTCACACACTTTTTTTTTTTTTAAGGCACCAAATCATTCAATATTTGTTTCAAATAAAAAGCAAACCATTAGCTCGTTTCCTCATTCCAAACACCCCACGGACTGCAGGCTAAACGGGATCCTTTGTTGTGTGTCCCAAAATAGTACAACGCGGTATTGCTAAATTGGAAAATAATAGATGACTGTTTCCAAGAATGCCAAAGCTATCACCATAAATTTTGTTCTGCCCCGTGGGTCCAATTTCATGCTCCTTTTAGTGAATCTGCCGTCCTAACAACAGTAAAGCCAATCCGATTGAACACCCCTCGCCTTTTCGCTTTGGACACTCCATTAATAAATATAAAGGCTGAAAGAGGACGCCAAATGGGCCAGCTTCATTTATGCACAGTGACATCCGTCAAGGGAAATTTCTCCAACCCCAGTGAAAGTTGTTTCTCAGATGCCCACCCCAAACTGGCCGGCCTCTGCCTCCGAGCCCAGGACGAGAGGGGGCGGGTGGGCAGAGAAGCCTCACCTTTGGGCTCCCCACCTCCAGAGGAGGGGACGAGGAGGAGGGCACAACGAGAGCGCGGAGTAGGAAGGTGGGCGAGCGGGAGAGACAGAAATGGATGCTGAGGGGGTGGGCGCGAAGGGAAGGTAGGGAAGGTGGGGAAGGCAGGGAGAGGTGGCTGAGCCGAGCTGCGGGATCGAAGAGCCGAGGGGGAGCGGCGGGGGTGGGAGGGGGCGCGCGGGGGTCGGTTCCTTACCGTTGAACGCTCCTGCGTCTGTGGCCTCCTCCTCCTCGCCGTTCTCCGAGCCGCTGTGCATGGGCTCCTCGGCGAAGTTGACCCCCCTGCTGGGGGTACCGCCCCCGCCGGCGGCGCCCGCGTCCCCCCAGGTCCTGCCCTCATGGCCGAAGCGCGCGGCGCCTTTGCGCTCGTTCTCCTCCTGCAGGCGCGTGAAGTGCTGCAGCGCGAACTCCAGCAGGTCCGCGGGCTGGTGCCTCAGCACCTCCACCGTGAAGCCCTGCAGCAGCTCCGTCAGTCCCGCCGGAATCTCGATGCTCATCCTGCCTCCCCTGCCAACGGGCGCCGGGGCGCCGCCCTCGCCCCCTCCCCGGACCGGTCTCGGGCCCCTCGGCCGCCGAGCTAGCGGAGACGACGCTGGCTGCGCTACCCGCTGCGAACGCGGCGCACTGGGCCCCGGAGGCCCGGCTGGCCCGGCCCGCGGCTCCCGTCGCGCGGCTGCTCCGTGCGGCTGCGGTGGCTAAACGAGCACGGCCTCGGGAGAGCTGGAAGCATCTCCAGCTCCTCCCGCTCCCACCGCGGCCGCTCCTTTCCCCTTCCTGGGCCGCCCCGCCCCCGCGCCCGCCCCGCCGCGGAGCGCGGGAGGGGGCGCCGGCGCGCCCCACGTGACCCCAGGAAACCATGGCAACCTCCGCCTGCGGGCGCCGGGTGCCTGGACAGCTGAGGGGCTGAAAACGCAGGCGGGCGCCGGCTGGCTGGCTGGGCGCGCTGCTGGGGGCGCGGTCGGGGCGGGGGCGGGGGCGGGGGCCATCCCCCGGGTCATCCCCCGGCCCAGGCGCGCCTGGCCGTCCACCTGTCCGCACGCCCCGGAGCGGGCGGGCCACTCGGCAGAATTCCCACGCGTCATTCACCAACGGAGTCCACGCAGAGCTGGCGCCACTCGATTTGCCCTGAAACTTCGGCCTCCACCTCGGTAGCGGCATTTTATTTTCCTCCGAGAATCTAGTTGGATTGATAAGTGTGGGTGATGTCTTTTGTTTAAAGTCGTATAGTGGTACTGGTTATCTTTTGGACAAAGAAATAATGCCCCATCTTTGTGACACCTTTCTTTTTTTTCCGCCTCATTTTATCCAGTCTTTCTCCATCCATCCTGTTTTATTGTTTTGCTTCACTGATACTATCCCATTGTCCACTCTATGCAGTTACTACTTGTTAAGACAAATGTGCCATTTATTGTGAGGCACTTAAAGTCAGTCGATGCCCTTCAAACAGGATGGTGCAGCAATTTGAATAAAATGTCAGTGTCAGGACAGATGGCCCTTAAGCAAAAAAACCTTTACCTGATTAAACTGTTATTGTTTATTTTTAAAAAGTTCCCTTACGCTTTCAGTGGTTTTGAATTATATCTCCAAAAATAGGAATATGTACTTCACTCTAAAGAGAAATAGAATTCGAGATGTGTGCTTTAAAGAAGTCCTGGACTTTGAAACGAGGCTTATTCTGCGAATGTTTCCGGTTTTGAATTAGAAAATGTCTTTTGCCAATTAAACGGTATTTTAAAACACATCATTTTTTACCATGACCATCATTGTAAAATAAAATATCTCAATAGCAAGCTCACTTAGCTTATCTTTCTACCCACAAAAAAAAAAGAAAAAAGTACATACATGGTTCAGAAACGTCAAAGACTAGAAATCAAGATGTAACAAACTAGTCCCTTTAATAAAAATACATTTTGACATTAATCCTTTGTTTATGACACAACTTATATTCACTCCATGAGTGAATGTTTTATTTCCATTTTTTAACTTCATAATAATATGTTGTTTTTAAATATAGTAAGGTACTTCTAATGGAAAGGGTCAAGCATTTTAAGAATTAAGCTTTTATGAAATACTATGATCCTCACTTCATGGCCCATGATATTAGTCAAACTCTAACCATATAAATATTATATAGACCATATAAACATTATTATCTTTATAGACCCAATAATTTAAGACAAGTTTGCATCATCTTTCTTCATTTATGATGATGTTTTTATTAAGATTAACAAGAAAATACAAAATATAGTAGCTTAAACAAGATAGAAGTTTATTTCTCTGTAATGTAAATGCAAGCAGCTCAGGGCTGGCATGGTGGTTCTAGGATCATTAGGCACCCAGCCTCCTTCCAGCTTGTTGCTATGTAATCCTAAATTTGTTGTCCAAATTGCTGCTCTACCTTCCTTCTACATCCATATTTCAGCCAAGAGGAAAGTGGAAAAGAGAAGGGAACCTCCCCTCCAACCACATACACATCCCCCATCTAAGGACACTTCCAGGAAGTTAAACACACCAATTCCTCTTATATCCTCTTGGCCAGAACTTAGTCAACGGCCACACCTATGGTGTGACAGATTGCATTTTCCAAAGGTGGCTTCAGAAATCTCACCTGTGCCATGTGCTCTTCAACAGTGTGACCTTGCCACTCCCCCATCAAGAGTTGAAGCCTTAATTGCCCTCCTCTTGAATCTGGGTGGGCTTGTGACTGCATGGATAGAAGTCGTGCCAGCATGACAGAAGCAGCCAGCCATGTGATGCCCCATCCCAAATCTTTGAGCATAATAAAAAGCTTGTTTTCAGCCTCTACATTTTGAGGTAATTTGTTACTTTCCACAACAATAGTAACTCAAATGCATGGCTATAAGGAAAGCTTGGGAATTTGAGCTTTATTTTGAGCAGTCCTGTGCCAAGCAAACATTTGGAGATGCAGGAGAACCAATTCTGGGAGCAATAATCGGTGTCTGCCACAATGCTTAACACCCTTTCCCCCAGGAATGACAGAAGAAAAAGTACTACTTCCCCAAACATTAACAAGAGCCATATTTCAAAGCAGCATCCTATATTTTGTGTTTCAAAATGCCATTATTCCTTTTCGTAGATTTACTGTATGAAGCATGGTAGATGGGTCTGTCATCAACCACAATGCCAGGGTCACGTGGCTGTCATTTTTTTAGGGGTATAGAGGTGAGTCAAACATGAAATGCATAATTGGATTAGATGACCTTTATGGTCTCTTCCATCTTGGGATATTCTATAGTAGTACAATATTAAAAGAAGACATGTTGGATTTAAAACATCTTTGCAAACAGCTCTCTGATAACAATTTTTATTTGCGTCCGTTCTTAAATCAATAACCATGGCCTGAAAAAGTAAAGCTTGATCCTCATATTCCTATTATGTTAATATTGTTCTCAGAACAAACGTTCACTTCTCAAATCATATTCTGGCTTTATTCACTATCCCATAACTGTTTTGGTAATATTATATGATTTCCCTTGCTGTCATTTTCAGAATATTTCCTTTTGAATGTTGAAGTACAGTGACAGTGACTTATGAGGACCATTTATCTTTGATTTCTTTAAAAGAACATCATTGATATTGATTCTTTGGTTGTTGATTTACAAAGCAATTTGCACTAGTTCCTCAGAGAATCAGAAGCAATTGCAAAAGGACTCAGAGTTCAGCACTGGAATGAAATAAGAGTGCTACCAAATTTGTTTTTGCACATGGGAAATTAAACAGATATTAGACAGAGACATCAGTTTGTTGACATGCTGCAGCTAAAACAAGACAACAGCATGGAGAAGCCAATAGTTTGGGCAACCTTTACAATGGATAATAATAACTATGGCCAGTCAATCATACAGCACTTCTTATAATTATACAGCACTTCAATAATTCATATATTAACTATTGATTATGTAATACATCAATAGATATATCCTGATCAAACCTCTTTGGTGCAAGAAATACGTACCCACTCAAGGAAAAAAAAAGTAGGCAAATTGAAAGGACACAGGGGCTGGGCTTGCGCAGGGCCCACTGTGGCTATCACTCTTAGTCTCATATACCTTTAACAGTTCAGCACTGACTACAGTTTTGGTGTCTCTAGTTCATATTCTCAAGAGAATCCAGTGGGATTGGCTGGCCTGAGTGAGAGGTTCTCTCCTGGTTCAGTCAGTGTGGCCAGTGGGGTGCAGGATAAGAAAATGGTCAGGTACAGAGGAATGGATAAAGAAGATGTGATATGTGTGTATATATATATATATACACACACACACACACACACACATATACACACAATGGAATATTACTCAGCCATAAAAAAGAATGAAATAATGCCATGTGCAGCTACATGGATGCAACTAGAGATTATCATACTAAGCAAAGTAAGTCAGACAAAGACAAATACCATATGATATCTAATGTTGAATCTAAAATATGACACAGATGAACTTATCCACAAAACAGAAACAGACTCATAGACATAGAAAACGGACTTGTGGTTGCCAAGGGGGAAGGGTGGGGAGGGTTGGATTGGGAGTTTGGGATTAGCAGATGCAAACTATTATATATAGAATGGATAAACAACAAGGTCCTACTGTATAGCACAGGGAAATATATTCAATATCCTGTAATAAACCATAATGGAAACAGAAAAAAATAAATAAATACTAAAAAATAAAGAAAGTGGTTAGGTAGTACAAATACATGACAAAGCCCGCCTCTTCAGTAGAGAGTGAAGTCCCAAACATGGGCACTGTCGGTGGTATAGGCACCACACACTTATATGCTAAAAGATGGTCACCTCATAGCCTGAAAATCTTGTAAACATTTGCACTGAGACAAGATAAAATGTTTAATCTCTAGATGCAGCTTTTCAAAGGATTGCCTCTAGAAGACCAATGGTTCTCCAACTCTAGGGAGCACCAGAAACACTTGCAGGACTTGTTCAAATACAGTGGCTGGCCCATACCCCAGATTTTCAGATTCAGTAAGTCTGAGGGGGAGCCTGAGAATTTGCTTTTCTCTCAAACTCCCAGGTGATGCTTATACTGTGGGTCTAGGGACCACACTTTGAGATCCTCTACACCAGATTCCCCAGGGAAGGGTTTATACACATACCATGTGCGTTCTGAGAAAACAACTGTTTGAAGTAACTTTTTTGCTTAACGTCAGAGCGTAAGTTTTTCTTTGGCTAAATGAGGACTAAAAGCAACTTCATTATTCTGTTCTCCTTTAAGGGCTCTTGCAAAGTTAAAGAGATTCTCAAAAGCAATAGAGGATGGATCCTCAAATGCTACGTTGCATAAATAGAATGTGGGTTTCCTGTTAAGGACTAGGGTGAACTCTCAAGTTTATCTCTGCTTCCTGAAACTCTACTAAAATAATGGCTAAAGGAATGGGGAAAATAAAACTATAAACTCATAAGGACAAAAGAACCATAATAAAAATTTTACATAACAATAAAAAATTTTAATTATTCAGCTTTCAAAAGGAAGGAAATTCTGCCACATGCTACAACATGGATGAACCTTGAGGACGTTATGCTAAGTGAACTAAGCCTGTCACAAAGGACAAACACTGTGTGATTCCACTTGTATGAGGTATCGAGAGTAGTCAAAATTCCTCAAAACAGAAAGTAGAATGGTGGTTTCCAGGAGCCTAGGGGAAAGGGAGATGAGGAGTTGTTTAATTTGCAAAAGAGTTTCAGTTTTGCAAGATGGAAACATTCTGGGGTTGGTTG